GGAATTCACAGCAAATAACATTATGACAAAGTGTGCAATTACCATAAAACTCTTGGCAATAGTTCTGAACTAAAATTTAGTTTTATTTGTCTGTTCAAAAAATTCTTTAATTCACAGAACACCATTCTACACAGTGTTGACATACAGGTTTCTTCAGTTTCGGCCAATGGCCGTAATACGCTTTTAGCGTATTCCTCATCAGTCTCGACCAATGGTCGTTATGCGTCAAACTGACGCGCCTTTTAAACCGTTTCATTGCATTGATAACAATTTATATGACAATAAACTTTATTAATTTTAAAATACTAGGAAAACAATTAAAAGAGTAATATACTCACATCACTAACAAGAAGATTTTCTATAATGAAACAAAAAAATTTTTCAACACAAAAAATCATAACCACAATATAATTAGGCAACAAATAATCAACAGCAATGGGATATCCAGTTGTTTATTGAGGAGTTTTCTCAGATTCAATGACGACACAGGTCTTCTCTCCAGAGACAACACCGCAAGACTCTTTACTAGTAGAAGGCATATCCTAAAAAAATATTAATAATATTAATAATATTAATATTGATATTGCATTACTCACATGAAAGTCATTTTCCAAACCCGGCAGTGTAAGACACGAGTATTTGAGGTGTCCATTCTGAAAAAATATTATACTCAAATATTCTCTATACTTCTTATTACATTATAACATTATATGTACTTATAGAACCAAGAAAAAGACATACCATCAAATCAGTACGATCACGTTCGGATAATAAATCTTCAACGGGGATACCTTTCCATTCAGGCAGAGGCAATCCTAACTTTATAGCGGCAACAGGTGATTTCATCGTCTGGTTTATCAAATAATATGAGGGTAACAAAAGACAAAAAGTAACAAGTTGGTATAACATTACACTTACTAAATCCTTTCCAATGTGAATATAACCTTTTTTGACACTCATGTCAGGAGCCTTTAGTCCTTTGAGATGATACATCGATGTCAATCGTTTACGAATAAGCAGTCTAAGGGTGCTGACATGAACAAGTAAAATTACACCATATATAAACATGTACATCAAAACTAACCATACACTTGCCACAAATAGTCACCTACCCTAAATTATTCTCATCTGAAGCACCTCAAAGTCTGCTCTTTAGTAAGTGTAATCTTTAAGCCATTTTCCTTATTGTAGTCAGATAACTTTCGTCGTCCCTCAGTCATAAAAATTTCCAAATTGACAAGTCACACTTCCTGTTAACATGTTCTTGAAATTGCTCCTTTCGTTTTACTTGATCTTGACTCTGCTAAAAACAAATAGTTATTACTATTACTATTAGTCATTAATAGGTACCGAAGAGTAATTTTTCTCGAACACGGTGTTTACCTATTACACAATGGCACTGCATCTACTACATTGAATATTCAACAAATTCTACATAACAAGCTTGTCTCAGGTTGAGATAACCTCTATTACGCCAATTATACACCAATTTAACAATTCCTTCATATTTTTCAGTTAACCTAATAAAACACCATTGCTCTAATTCCTTGAAACATATCTTTAAACACGGGGGCCATACCCCTTAAAAAATAGGGACTCTTTTGATGGGGTTATATAAGTGGTTACTAGCATGGGGTATGTACCACGCCTCCAAAAGGGTCAATAAACTCAATGTAATAACTTCGCTCACTAACTAAAGTTATCCAGAGGCTCGCAAGTGCCTAGGGCAATCCCCTTTAAACTTCCCCTTGGTATGTGGGTTGGACCCCTCACATACTCATAATACGGTCCACTACCTCCACATTACTTAGTAATAACTATTATTCCACTAAAATCTTTTATAAAAGTAAGGTAAACAACATATATCAGTTAGATAACTTCGGTACCTCAAATCATTCCGATACTTGTACAACAAACTGTAAGAAATGTGACATTATAGATAAAGATAATTATATCATATCGAATTCCACCGGTTTGAAAATTCATACATATAAAGACAATGTTGCAAACTGTTGTAGTAGAAATGTAGTCTATTGCCTCAATTGCTTAGAATGTGGATACCAATACGTAGGTATAACTACAAGAAAATTAAAAGATAGAATACGAGAACATTTATATTATATAAACAAAAATGATTCACATAAGCTACTGTATAAACATTTCCATGAAAAATGTACTAGAAAAAACGTATCTTTCAACATACTTGACAATATGAAAGAAAATGAAGACAAAACTGTCCTACATAACAAAGAAAACTTTTTGGATAAAATTGTTAATTACTGCTTTTCCTTTTGGAAATAATGATAATGTAGCTTCATATGGGAATATATCTAATATACTTAATCCTCTCACATATAAACCGGAACACCCATATTTCACCTTGAAAATAATCAAGAAAAGAGAAAGAAGAGGAAATAGAAATAGAACTAATAGAAATAGAACAAATAGGAACTCAGGTGATGGAATAAGTAGATTTAATGAAGTATTATATAATTCCTCAAATTTCAAGGTGATCAAAAAAGAACTTTACAGTTTGAAAAAACGAGAAATAACCAAAATAATACAGATGTGCTATATAAACACTTATTATATAGATATACCGAAAGAAAAAAAGTTCCTTTTATTGTGCTTATTATGTAACTTCCAATTTAGGTCACAAAAAACTAATAAAAACAAGGGAAACAATAACAAAGATTTTTGTAACCTACCTACTTTTTATATACACAACATCTTAAACTATGTAAATATAAACAAAATACTAAATTCCAATGATATCACACATCTCATTCGAAACAACTCATCAATCAGATATATACCCTTCAGAGTAGTATATAGTTATGACAAACCAGCGTCACTATTAATTTTTAACTACAATAAGACACTCAGAAACATACAATCTAGTGAAGTTATAAATATATTGAACTCAAAATGCATATGTGAAAGCAATAATTATAAAGAATTCATAGATAAGTTTCATGGACACATAATAACAGGTGACACACGTGTCATTCACGACACAAAAATTAAGAATATACTAGATAAAGGATGTAAATATAGAATTCCAAAATCAGTTACAAAACAAACCATAACAAACTGGATTGAAGAAACTACAAAAAGCTACATAAACCTCATAAAAAATAAATATAGACTTAGAAGTCCAATATTGATGACAATATACCATACAATCAAATCGAAACTGTTTAATACCTTAAAACCAAAACTTTATTCACAATGGTTAAATTGTAACACAAAAATATCTGAGGAATATGTGAAAAAAGTAATGAAACAATTACAAGAATCCTTTATATTCTGTCCCTTAGATAAAGCAACTAATAATTATGGTATTATTTGTAAAAAACTTTATATAAAAACTATAATAAACGAGATGGGAATAAAATATGATAATGATTCCAAACTTTGTATAGAGAACACGAATAATACATACACATACATCAATACAACGAATATGTCAAATATAATAAACAAACATAAAAGATTCAATGAGAAAAATAACATAGAAAATAACAATAAAATGGAAATTCCGTTAATATACGCCATCCCTAAACTACATAAATCTCCCATAAAATTTAGATTCATCACAGGTGCTAAGACCAGTAGTTTGAAACCGCTATCTATAGAACTTACTAAACTGTTGACTTTTATTAAATCCCATTTTCTTAATTATAACAACATTATCAAAGACAAAAATACAGAATTCATAGGATACTGGGCTATTAACGATATAAATATAAGTGAACAACTTCAAAATTTACACATTGAGAACATGAAACTTTTTTCTGCAGACTTCACAAATATGTTTACCAACCTACCACACACTCACGTAATGAATAATGTTAAAGAAATTCTCAAAATATGTTTCAAAAATAGTAATAGAAAATTCATTGCTAGTAACAGATATAGAACCTTTTATACAGACAACACATCACTAAAAACCTATAACTACTATACGATTACCGATATAATGTATTTACTACACTACTTGTTGACAAATAGCTACTGTAAATTCTCAGAATATATATTTGTTCAAAAAACAGGTGTACCACAAGGAAGTAACGTTAGTCCTTTACTGGCTGATCTGACACTGTCTTATTTTGAATACTACTACTCTCTCAAAATACATAAGAAACAAGTCAAACTGAAACCTTTCAGATACATGGACGATATCTTAATTATACACAATACCAATACACAAACCATCTTAAAAGAACTAGATAAAACATATAACAATATACTAAAATTAGAAGTTACGAATGATGATGAATATAAATGTAACTATTTAGATCTAGAAATAAACATAGATACAAACAAAATATCTACAAAAATGTATAACAAAACGGACAATTTCAATTTTTCTATAAAAAGATTCCCTAACGCTGAAACTAATATATCTAATCATATTAAACATAATACAATTTATTCAGAAATATTGAGAATAGCACGAACATGCTTAACAAAAAAGATTTTTTGGATAGACTTAGGTATACCAAAAGACAGTTGATCAATTCTGACTATAATACAGATACTTTTGCCATATGTCTCATGAAATGTGTAACAAAAAATGAATTTATAAAACATAAATACAAACTAAGAAATATCGAACTTTTTAAAACAATAAACATCTGAATTATGAAAAAGTAGAAATGAGACAACAAAATGCATGAATCTAACATTTCCTCTATTGAATGTCAAAATATTTTTTAAGAAGAATTGATTTGAGGAAAGAACCTAGGAAAATGCGTTGCAATCACATAGTTTCTTTCTTCTACCTAATCACCTCACTTCTGACAAAATCAAATAATGACAAAAATTAATTTTGATAATTATATTTACAAAAAGTGTCTAATATTTATTCTAATGATAAGATATAAACACTCACCTTACCATCCATTGATAAGTTACGTGGCAAAATGAGTGATGATAAGAAGTCATAGATAGCTCGAATGATAACAAGTCTTATCATGTACACACAGTAACACTCTTCATTTATTCAACAAACAGGCTAAGATGCGGTCAAACCAAGTGGAGTAAGTTGTTTTATAGTTCAATAATAAACTAAATACTTAATCAAGAGAAGACTAGTGTAAACCAATATCTCTGTTGGTTTATACTAGATCAAATTTGTGAAATTGTAAAATTATAAACACCAAAATTTCAATACTTTCTCTCGAAAACTGAAGGTAAGTAATAGAATAGAACAACGAAAATATTTTCATAAAAACACTTTTTTTGATTAAATAATCAACTCTTCACAATAGAATTTTCCTTCTTCCCTTACTGAAGAGCACAGAGAAGGAAGATTGGTCTCGTTCAGTTTCCGTCTAAGGGCACGTGCGAAACGGAAAC